TTTTTTTTTTTTTTTTTTGGCCAATGAAGCTTTCAGCAATTATTTAAAATGCATCTGATCACTCTACACACTAATCTAGAACCAATGTGAGTGAACACCACAACAGCTGAAGCAGCAAACTTTGCAAAACACAACATTTATGTCACTGCCAATACCTTTGGCCATCATTGTATGTTTACTTACCAAGTAGTCTTAGTTCCAAACTTGTTTGAGTTGAAAACACAGATCTCTGTTTATTGTAAACTATACATGTGTATTGTCCCTCATCTTCAGCTCTCAGATCGTCCAGCCGGAGGGAGAAGTTTCCATGTTGAATCTCCTCAGTAAGTAAATGAGCTCTATCCTGATAATCCTGCTGCTGGGCTTCTGTTTGACTCTCTCCATCCTGATACAGATGAACCAGTGTCTCTTTTCTTCTCCATTCCACCTTCAGATCATTTGATAGCAAACGTTTGGCACAAAAACAGGGCAAAACCACTGAAGATCCCAGAGGAGCAACCAGAGGAGCAGAGGAAACTTTCGCTGTAAAAAAAAAAAAAAGACATTTTCTCCATGATGTGACCTTCTGTTAAAGCAAAAGAACTGTGAATGGTATTTTGGACATGAGGATGCAGTATTGAGCAGGGGAGGACTGGGACACAATTTCAGGCCGGGAAATCTCACACTCATCCAGGCCATCCTATACACCCACAGCAAATTCTGGAACCACAGACAACCCTATTATTCACATTAAAAAGTTTTAAATCCTTAGGCTGAAGCCAGGCCTGGACTGGCCATCAGGAAAACAGGGACAATTCCCAGTGGCCTGGCAGCCGATTTGGCCTGCTGCCCTGTTTTTTTTTTTTAAATATTATTATTATTATTATATAAAAATAATAATTGCCTGCCAAATGTACTAAAGCAATTACTTCCGAATTCACCATTCGATAATAAATCTTTAATAAATCACGAAGTAATCAGAGTAATTAATGCGAGAGAGAGAGAGAGAGAGAGAGAGTAATCAATAGAGTGGAAGAGCACAGGTGGAGCAGAGAAGTAACAAAAATGATCAAACACACATGATCCAGATAATCAAGAAGTTCAGGATTACTTGAAGATCAAAGGCAGGTGTTTGGAGCAGTTTATGATTAAACTCTTCAGTATGGAAGATCTCCAGGAGCAAAAAAAAAGGCCTCCTGCAAAAGTGGTCTGTGTTCCAGTTGGGTTTTTTTTTTTTGCCCTTCCCTCGCTAACTCCCCTCCGTCTCATTGACTCAGATGTACACCATTGATTAGTTGCACGAGTGCCCATTACTGGCAGAACACTTGCAATGGGCTGAATTCAAACGTCCTAAGCCCATGATCACTTAAAATCCACCATGGAGTTCATTTATTATTTACATTTTTTCCCCTTACAAATTTGTTTGATGCAGCATTCAGGTATATAGGTATACTTGGGCTGTTTTAAATATTTAAAACATAATTCATATATCATAGAGTTGTTTGATGGGGGGAAATTAAACACGATCTGTGGTGACGTCACAATCGTCGAGGGTCTGTTCATATAAACTTCCCTCAATCACCTCACGAAGTGAAACGCACTTCAAAACGTCAGCGGGGATGCCCTCTAGAGTAAGTGTCTAAAAGCCAAGTGGAACGCAGCCCTCGTGAGATCTAAGATGGTGCTAGTGTGTGCGACTAGCCATCTACTGACTGTCTTACTGTGGACTTTTTAACCCTTCATGCTTGAATTATGACAACCTCAGTCAGGATTTTTTCCTATGTGTTTTTATTGCTTTTTGATCTGAACTTTTCTCTCTCTTTTTTTTTTAAAGATTTTCAGATGTCCTCTTGAGTGGACAGCCTATGCATTTTGGTTTTAACTTAAGCGATACTGTATCAATCCTAATACAGTACCACAGTAATGCTGTGTGTATTTGACAAATCAATGAATAAAATTAGTATCTTATAAAATCAAGTGAAAACTATAAAACATATACAAAAAATGTAATACAGCTGCAATTATTGCAAACGCAAGGAAGAATATCCTCTATTTCACTGCAATAATTGGAAAATTGAACAATGATATAACTCCTTAGAAGTGACTTGCTGTTACAAGGTTTTGTTTGCTTGTTTTTTTTTAATCAGCAAGAGTCTAGGATAGAAGGAATGGATGGATATTCTGAAGCACCTTGGCATTTCTGACTGGTCATCAGCCATCTTGCTTTAGAGAAAAACAAATCACATACAACGGCTTGGCACTAGGTGGCAGTTTATAGGATGGTGCACTAGTGTCCACACTAATGGTTGATGTGCAAATATGCCATCAAAACCCATGCATACGCAAGAAAATAGTTTTTGAATAGCTATCCACTGTAGTGACCTCTGTGCATGAAAGGGTTAATGTTGCTTTTAATTAATACTGGTCTTGCGCTTCTGGTTTATGATCGTCAAATACTGCATGAAGTCAGAAGCTTAGTTTTGTTTTGAAATGCATATTATAAACAAATGTGAAATGAAAAGGACATCTCTGCACTAGACGGTTTGAGAACATTATAAAAAAATCATAAAAAATGGTCAAATGACTGGCAGTTATGGCTGCCAAAACAAAACTGTAAAATTACAGTAAAATACCCACATTTTTATAAAGTGCAAAAAATAAATAAATAAAATAACCTTTACAGTAGTTTTCCTTGAATGCTTTACAGAAGAAAAAATCACTGCAATTCCACATGTATTTCTTGAATTATTATCAAACACCTTCAATAAAGTGACAGCACTAAAACTTCTGCAGAGAAACACTGTTATTTCCAAGCATTATTTCAAAGATCCTGGATTATTATGATCAAATACCTTCACTGTAAAATGTAAATCATGTGAATTAAATTATTATTATAGAATTGTAGCACACTCTCAGTAGCTAATGTATATATAGGCATCACTGCATCAGCAACTACACAGTTACCGTCTTGTAAATAAAGCAGCATGCAGCATGTTGTCACTTTATTTCTTTCATACGCTGACAAGAGTTTTATTGAGCATTAACAGAGGTTTAGATGATGATGTTTTATTGAAGATATTAGTTTGGATTGAAGTTGCTATTATGCTTATTAGTGTTTGCTTTAGTTGGGCACTTTGGCCCTGGACTTTTTCACTTGAGCTTTTTCTCTGGCTACTGTAAACTGATGTTTGCTACTTATTGATGATGATTTAAACGGCATGTAGATGTCTGACTTACTGACCCGATCCTGAACTTAATCACTTTTAGTTTTAATAGTTTAGTTTTTTAGTTTATTGTATACAGTAGTTATGAATTTCACATTATTGTGTGTTGAAGCTCTGTCGAGTGCAACAGTCAGGTTCCAGAAGTAAAACCTCCATAAATAAATTGATTTTTAACAATAACTGATAAATCTTTAAAGACAGCCCTGTTATGAGCTCTAATGTTGTATATGCTTTACTTAAACCCATCTGTTCACATTAATACCAATATTTTTTTTAATAATTGTGTTCAGTAGCTGAATTCATGGTTAAAAACTACATTACCAATGATGCTGTACAGAAAATTACACCAAGTCCAAAAGAGATCTTTAGCTTCGTAAATCCCATGAAGCACCACAGATTAAACTTAAAATATTGTTTCTATATACAATCAACAACTTTAAATGAATAGTTTTATATTTCTCAATTGTTATTTGATTATGTCTTTCGCAATGCTTCATGGGATTGTAGTTCTTTCCCTCAGTAAGTACATAGTCTTGTACCTTTATATTTTATTATTATTATTATGCTTCAAATTAAAGTGCATGTTGTAATTCACCTCATAGTTGGCTTGGTTCATTGTTTATAACACCTTAATGAAGACATATAATTTTTGGAATCACTATGGGAAAAAAGAATGGGAAAAATACTTCCAGAACCAGCGCCACTGAAAAAGCACTAATGCTCTCTATAATACTACTGCTGGAGAACCTGAAGTGTTATGATATTTTGATGTACAGAGACCCAGAATCAGCAAATAAAATATTATTTGAAACTGATGGACTCTAAACAATGAATAATCTGTTTAATGTTCTGTTCTGTTGGGATTTAAAGGGTTTGTGGGTTAACATTGTGCTGAAGAGCAGATGCTTCAGATGAGGATGGACTGGAAAACACTGACAGTTCCTGATGCAGTGATGTCTATATGTGGGTCAAAGACGTTAAGATGTCCACATCAAAAGAAATGTACAAAAGAGATTTAATGTCCACAGAAAGCACATTAAATGTAAGTAAAGTGTCTACTTTGAAGGTTTCAAATAAGTTTTGGGAGAATAAAATGTCAAAGTGTGGTTGAAATAATGTTACGTTGTCATTCAGTGTAACACAATATGTATGTAAAAATTCAAACAACATGCTTATTCTGACCTGAACATATTAAATATATAAAAGAATAAGGGAGCATATTACATTTTATTATGTTTTAAAAGAGTAAAAAATTCTTACTGACAAATGGGCAAAACCTAGGAAAAAGTTTTGAAAAAGATAGTGGCAAATTTAAAAAATGTAAAAATAACAACTAATTTGTATTTAGGGTGAAAGTAATTAGTTTTGTAATATGTCATAAATTGATTTTTGTTGTAAATATGCCTGACAAGATTGTTACACTGAATGACATTTTAGTGGGTCTCTTCTGTAAATCAGGGGAACATGTATGATATTTATTTTTTGCTCAGAAAAACAGAAACAAAATTGTAATTAAATTAAACAGAAAACGGTTTATTTTTGGGGGGGAAAACAACAACAATTTAAAGCAGTATTACACTTATTGTTTTTATGCTTAAACCCTTTTTCATCTTTGACCCATATACATTAGTTCATGCATGTGTGCTATTGCTAGCTAATGCTTAACTGTAAGAGATTTACATTTTACAGTAAAGGTATTTGATATTAATAATTCAATAAATATCTGTAAAATAATTGTTCTGTAAAACGTATAAAGAAAATGTATGTAAAAGTTTTTGCACTTTACTTAAATTAGGGTATTTTACTTTAATTGAACAGTTTTTGTTTAATAGCTATTGCTGCCAGTCATTGAAAGTTTTTTTATATATATATATATATATATATTGAAAGTTAAAAGATCTACTTTGATATCAGACCTCATCCTGTTACTAAATACAGAACCCAGTTAAACAAGCAGCACCAAGCCATTAAACTGACACCGCTACGATTTACAGTTCAGTGTTTTGTTTTGAACAAATGTAAGGTTTCTCATTTAAACCGGACTCATCCACAAGGTCTTTGGCAAACTTTAGACATGTTGTTCTTGGAGGCCAGTAACTTCCTTCATACACAAACATAAACACACGTCTCTGATGCAGGACAAGCTCATATTAGAGGTGAATAAACATGTACAATCCCATCCAGGGATACATGTTCAGACTTCAATTCGGAGGAGATCCTTTACTTTCAGACTGAAGAGTTTCATCAGGTAATGTAGGAGCAGATCAGTGGTGCATTACAACATCTCACAATTATATTCATGACTGGAATTACATTGACTAGTTATGATAATTCAAATTTCATACCATAAATAATCAACCTAATGAAAATCGTGTATTGATTAGGCTCAGTGTTCTTTTCTGTTTTATCGGTTTACTTACCACTTAAATATGAAGAGAAATCATCTAGGGAGAAAGAAGAACAATAACAAGATTTCAGTCAAAATTAACAAAAGCTTTAAGATGTAACAGGGTTAAATGTTCTATTATTGTTTAATTATTAAAATGATATGAAAGTATGTGTTGTTAAGCTATTATGAATGATATTTTAGTGGCATGTGCTGATAATAGACATGTCTTCTGTTTTTGTCACACCAGCTACTGCACAGCAGACACAAAGAGCATGTGGACACTGAAGACACACTGAAAAATGTCTGGATGTCATTACAGTAGAAACAAAACATCATAGCAAGTCTCATTTATGGTCAACAAAACATGCGCAGACACCCTTTAAGCAAAAAAATAAATAAATAATGTGTTTTTTTTAGTGTTGAAAAACAAGACATAAATATTGAGTCATTTAGTATTTGTCAAACTTTAGTGGAACACGTTCATAGTTCATGTGATGAACACGTTTTAATTGTGCTTTAGGTGCTGAAACACCTTTTTTAGGCCTCTGCACAGCCTTATTTGCATAAACTCTGAGAGTTTATGACTGAACATGCTTCATGGCAAAGTCTATAAAGACACATTTTATGCTGATATAATGGTTAAAACGGCATACATTTTTATTCATCTATTCACTTACCCTTTTCCAAAGTAATCTGAGTTGAAAACACACATTTCTGTTTGCTGTAAACTCTACATATGTATTCTCCAGCATCTTCTTCTTCCACATTGTCCAGCCGGAGGGAGAAGTTTCCATGCTGAATCTGATCAGTGAAGAAATGAGCTCTGTTCTGATACTCCTGCTGCTGTTTCTCTGATCGACTCTCACCATCTGGATACAGATGAACCAGAGTCTTACTGTCTTTTCTTCTCCACTCCACCTTCAGATCCTCCGTTTGTAAAGGTTTAACTCTATAAAACTTCAGAACCACTGATTCCCTTAATCCCGCAAGGACATCTCTGTTTTGAGAATATGTCACAGTGAACCCTGAAAATGAAAAGAGTTTGTTAGTACTGTAAAGTATCTTGATGGTGAAAAGAATGATGTACATAAATACACACATACTGTAATATTTAGAAAAAATTAATCATTCTATAATTGTTTAATTTCAGCAACATTGCAGAGGATAATAACATATGCACCTTCAACTGTTTTAGAAATTGTAGCTAAGTTTAGTTTCCCTCAGAACTACAATCATCCGACATGAGCTGCAGCCCTGATCACAAGATCAAATATGAATTTAAATAGGAAAAGTGGAATTTCTCCACTATATTGCAAAAACAATGAGAGCAAATAAGTAGTATTTGGGAAACCTATTTGAAAACAATCAGTGTCATTGATCACACAAACGAGTCTCACACAAATGATCACATCAAGATACAAGGACAGACTGCTTCATAACTCTATGGGCCCTTCATACACTGTCACTGCATTATAACTGAATTACTGTCAGTCATTTCACAGCTCAGGCACTTCAGTGGGAATTCATTTAAATTGAATTTACCACAACACAAAAAGATGGACTGAACTTGGACTTAAAATGGAGGAATTTACTGACCTAAAATTCAAAGAAATTCAACACAGGTGATGCATTCCGGGAAATCCATCCATCCATCATTTCAATATGATTCAAATTCAGGTATTGAATTGGAATTTAAAAAGCATTATCAATTAAATTCTCAATGGCACACAACTTTGCTGCTTATATATTGTAATTCTATTTTGTATTGTGTTAAATTTATGTATGGTCACTTGTCTTTCACCTTCTATCACATGAAAGTAAGTTGCCTTTAAGTTGTTGTTTCATGAAGAGCTTAATAGTTATGTTATTTTTGGTTGTTGATATATTTGTTTTGTTTTGTTTTCCATTGGACTCTGAGTGCGTGACAATAAAAGTTTTGACTTTGGTTTGTCACTGAAAATCATTTTAAAATATAATCGTCTCAAACATCACAAAACTGATTATTATTTTTGTATTGGACTAATTTTCTAAAGGGTCCTGAGTGACTGAAAACAGACTGAACTGTATGGCGGTGATGTAAAAGAAAAAAAAATCCTCCGCTGGATTTCAAAGATTTCAGTAAGGATTTTACTTGATCAGGCAGTTTTTCTCAGTTGCTTTGATGCATTTCTCAATTCACAGTTGAAAGTTGTTCAACCTCCTCATCATCTAGTCACTTGTGCACATCATAAAAGCATTTTCTCATTCTTTTGAACAAATTGCCAGTGCTGTGGTACATTCATGTAATTGATTATGCACAATTGTCTGCTGTTTCATATGTTATCAAGTGCTATCAAGTGTTATCAAGAATCTACATATATTACACTGGTTCTCTGTTGATTAGTCTTACCTCATTAGGTATTACTTTATTGTATAAAAGTCATTAAATGCAAAATCGTTGAACTAGTTGTCATATTCTGGCAAACATATTTTCTATACATATCAACAAGCCCTTTTTTGTTGTTGTAAATTTGGATTTGTGTGAATCTTGAATCTCACTAATTATGGGGTAATGTAAAGTGTTAGATCACACCAATGATCAACCAGTGTAAAGGTACATCTCATGAAGCTTGGCAAGAATATAGGCAGAGCACTGTGTTACAACAAGAAAACAAACACGGTCGATAGCCTGGGAAGAAGAAGAGTAAGGATATATATATATAAGGATGTATAATATGTATAATCATTGAAGTCTCTTGCAGTATCCCACAAACATTAATGTGTAAATTATTACTGTTGAAATTTATATATCCAACATATCCTATTTGCTATTTTTGTTTTTTGCCTACTGTGGCCTGAACAGCATGTTCTGCTTATCTTTCTTATTATCAGCCATGCAAAAGAATCAAGTATTTAATTCTGTTTCTGACTGAGCGGACTTTGGCACATTTGTCTGCTGTGATTTACCTGCTCTAAATGATGGCCGTAAAACACAGCATTAATTCACTAGGGGTTAGCTCATGAAGATTAATTATTGTGCAATAATGCTGCTTAACTGTATTAATATTTATTAAGTCATGCAAGAGTGGTGTGTTAGCACCATGACCAGGAAAGGCATAAAGTGGTCCTGCCTGTCCCTAACGGCACACTTTACATGCACCTCATCTGCAAGAAAAGTCTCATTTGGTACTTTATGAGTTAGATTAAGGGATGAACTAATTTCTGGGTTTGCCAATGTTTGTGCCATCAGTGTTTTGAAAGATCATTTTAAAAGAGTTTTAAGGCACAATGTTATATACTGTTTTGATTTTATGATTATATAGAAGAATCAGTACTCACCAGCACCTTTCAGACTAAGAACTCAATGTCCTTCATTTCTGACATTAGATTTGATCATTTCACCATTTTCCACTCATTTCGTTTGATATCTTTCTCTGTGATTGTTGTTTCAAATCTTTAAACAAGTTTTCAGTCTTTAAATATAGTCTTAAAATGAACTTTATTGCGTGTTGGTCTGTTATTGTTGTATCATTTTGATCATGTGAAAGTCTGGCTCTTTTGGATAAAAGCCTCACTGAACCACTGAAGGCTATCCTACCATTATTAACAAATATTGCTTGCACTCTTCTCTATTTCCTCTCAATATTCAAGTTCCAAATAAACTACAGTAAATAAGAATATGTGTACCGTTTTGATATCTGCAGTAGATCAGGCAGCAGAGCAGAAGTGCAGATCCAGACGCAGAAACACAGAGAATCAACACCATTATGTGTAAAACAGAGAAACCTGAAAAACACAGACATTACACTGAATACAAGTGTTATGGGGTTTTCTTTTATACTACCCTAAAAAAGAAAATATTCTTTATTTGTGCAAATATGTACTGTTTCTATCACACACACACACACACACGCACACACACACACACACACACACACACACACACACACACACACACACAC